GAGCTCTTAAGAATTGAGTATTTTGCGCTTGAGGATAACCTGTGGAAGAAATGCATCCTGAAAACAAACAAACAAACAGGTTGAGGACTAGGGGCTGTCGGCGCGTGGACTTGGGGATTCCATTCCATGCCCCCAAAACCCTTCCATTACATGGGCAGTCTGCCCATTTCCCTGTTTACCTGGTTTCAGACGCAGCAACAGCAGCTCACCCCCAGATATCTCCAGTCTTTCCTGTAAATGTTGAGACTTACCTTAGAACGTTCTATCCTCACCAGGACTGGAAATCCAGGAGCCTACCAGCCTCAGTGTGCTGCTCAGGCAGAGGAGAGATGAAGACTGACTAGCGGACTAGCCGCCAGTCCAGGTCTCAGCGCGCCTCAGAGCCCGAGGTGTCTCTGGCTCTGCGCACAGCCTACTGCTGCAGGCAAGGAGTCGTGCGCACTCCCCCGCGTCAGTGGGACTGGTGCTAGATCAGAGCTAGTTTATTTTCCACATTTCCACTGTGTGACTGGGGCTCTAGTGTTCCCTACCAAGGCGCAAGCACTCTGAGGGCTAGACCAGACAGTACATCTGGATTTGGCGGAGAGCGGTTGCTGCCGATGGGGTAAATTCCTCTTTAAAAAGCAAAAACAAAAAACAAAAAGCCCCTCACTCATCTAAATATGCCCATTTCAGTTCAGCAACCAGGATGTAATTAACATACACCCCTCTACTCAAGTTCTTTCATACCTAATCTCCTGCTTCCCACCTCCCCAAGGTAATTTGGCCTTCGATTTTATTTATTTATTTATTTATTTACCTGCATGGAGCCATACCCAAGCAAACACTATGGAGCCTTCAGAAACGCAGATTCTGGGAATCTGGAGGTGGAAGGTAGCAGGTGAATGGGAAAAACAGTTAGGGAAAGGGCATCCATCTTCAGAAAGCTGTCTTTGAGTGTACTTGCAGTGGTGCCAAACAAAATCTGTGATATAAAAACTATTCATGAGCTTTTGCAAAACCAGTGTGGGGAATGATTGCCGTGCTTCCATTTTTTTTTCATTGAAAAAGGAAAGCAGAGGGGAAAACACAAAGAAGATGAGAAGAGAGAAGCAGGAGGCTCCTGGCATAAAATTCTCACTAAAAAATAAAACAAAAACCATTATTTGGATCACTTGAGGTTCGGCTATTTTATTTCTAGAAAATTTTTTTCTGCCCTTTTGTGTATATTAAGCTAGATAAAATAGCCTCAGACTGTATTTTTAATTCACAGACCGGGTTCCTCATTTCCTCCATGATCTGTCTTCTGAATTTTCTCGAAGGACTATGTAAACAATCAGAGCTCATATGTGCGTGACTCACCAAGCCTCCCTGGGTAGAAGAGAGATGCCCTTAATCTTTGCACATCTGATTTTCACCTTTACAGGTTTCTGTAAAGCTGGATCTTTCAGGTAGTGCAAAAATCCCATCCCCCCCCCCTTTACAGCACATTTCTCATGAAACAGTGCAGGAGTAACGCCATCTGTCAAATTCAGCAAGTATCTTCCCCAAAGACAGAGTTTTTTTATTGTTTGTTTTTTGTTTTTAATTTTTCCCCCACACCCTGGATTTCCTTCAAAGACTGCAAGAGAACCCCACCCCACGTTCTATCTTTCCATGAACTTGTGTGATAAACCTCCACCCCCACCAGTTACCTCTGGCTTTCAATAAAAGGAAATCTTCAGGATGGGAACACCCCATAATTTTTCCTCACCCCAACTTTTCCCAGGAGACATCTACAATGGGTAAAATATTTACATAAAATGTGGGTTTACCCAAAACAGAGTGGAAACAAGTTTATCATTACAGCATCTAAGATTCCTTTTGTGACCAGTTCAGCAACATTGCAGTGTCTGCTGTACGTGACCAATTCACTACACACAGGGCCAGGAGACATTCAATCTTTCCTGAACATCAAATTTATCAAAATATCCAACGTATCTTCTTGGATGTCTCATACAACTAAATTTTAGTCCTAGGCAATATTGAAGGATCCCCTTTCTTCTCACACCTTTTCCAAATACCTCTCAACAAAAAGAAACCAGCATCTTCACCTGACTCAGCATTTCCTCTTTAAAGGGCCTATCTGTTAATTTGTTGTACACTGGAAGAGAAGCCAAGTAATCTAGAAACATTGTCAACTATCCCTCCACTTTACTAAATTCCAGTAACACAATTTTTGTCTACCTATGACAGCCACGGACCAAACCCCTACATGCTCACAATGTCTTCAGACTCTAAAAGTCCCCTTGACCAACAATGTGATATCCACAACAGTGCACAGCCCAAATTATCACTTCTTAGGAGTGCCTGAGGGCAAACAATGATTTCTAGATCTAGAAGGCAGACATTTTGGTAAGAACAAGCTAGCTTTCTTTCACCCTGCAATAGCCTTGAAGTAACTGCCTGAAGATCACACAACTCTATCTAGCTTAACTGTGTCCATTCCCTTCCTGCTCCTTGTGCCTATCCTAGGTAGACAGGCAATACCATCACTAACCTACTCTTTTTTACCCTGCCAGGCTTTGATACAGTGAAGACACAGCTCTCCCTCCCATTAAGAGCCCAGGATTTGAGATGGATCTTCAGGTCGTTTCTAAAGCTGGGTTTCCTGCACTACTTGGTAGTCTTGCGAAATCTTCCATCTAAGAAACGCAGCGGCTGCACGTGTGGTTCACGGAGAGTTAGCTCAGAGCAGCCAATCAAGGGCTGAGGCAGGAGAGCACCAGCTCCAGAGCTGCCAGGCTCTTCCCACAGATCAAAGCTCTCCTGGTAACAGATTTATAGCATTTCACAGGGAAGGACAGTGTGGGCGGCGCTCCAGACTATTGGTTCAGAGAAGGGGCGCGCGGGGGGGGGAGTGGGGAGAGGCTGAGGGCTCTGTGGCTTCTTTTGCTGCCCACGGAGTGCCAGTTTTGGATGCTTTAACATGGCAAGAGGTCTTCCAAGTCACTGTTTACCGAGAATTCAGGTTCAAACACAGGCAAAATGTCTGCATTTATCTTCCACTCCACCACAACCTGAACATCTCTCTAAGGCACAGCTCTGGTCCAACAAAAAGAGATAGGGAAAATTGGCTTTGGGGTTTTTATTTTTTGTTTGTTTGGGGGTGGTGGTGGCAAACACAGGAGCACACCTGGCACTTAGACTTATGCATTGGTAATTATTTTATAATTTTTAAATCAAAATGAGAGTGGATTTTCGTTTTCACAAAAGCAAACATTTTATCTTTTTAGAAAACAGACAAAAGGGCAAATAATATTTTAAGTGGGGATATGAGTGGGCTTTCCAGGCTGCCCCTTACACAATATTATTTTAGGCATTTCCATGATACCTCAAGATAAATTCTCTGAAGTGATTTTATGGATTTATTTTAATCATATGTTACACATTTAGGAATACCCGTATATTGCGTTTATACGAGATAATTTTGTAATTTGTGTATTTTTGTCAGCAAGTAAATGTAGCTTGCTGCAGAGATAAAGTCAAGCTAACATCTTCCGTTTCTTTTAACTTGAGACTGTTTTTAGCCTACTAAATTACCTGACCCCGTGGGTGTTTGCTTCCACATATATGTGAATTGTTAAATTAACATACTCTAATTAAAAAGTAAAACATTAAGTGACTGGAGAGGTGGCGATTAAGATCACAGTCGAAGATAGGGAGAAGTGATAATATGAGAAAAGGGGTGAGGACAATTTTGGGGGTACCCACAGAAACAGCTGACCTGAGCTAGTGGTATCTCGTTGACTCTGAATGGCAGCAGGAGAAGCTGCATAGGACCAAACTAGGCCCTTTCAATGTGAGTGAGAGTTGTGTGAGTTGGTTACTGTGGAGCCACTGGCAGTGGGAACAGGATTGATCCCTAGTGCTTGAACCAGGTTTTGGGTGCCCATATCTTTGGAGGGATACCTTGCTCATCCTAGATATGGGGGGTGGCAGCTTCTTGGTCCTGCCTCAAAGTGATGTGCCACACTTTGTTGACTCCCCATGTGAAGCCTTACCTTCTCTGAGAAGTGGATGGGAGTAGGCTGGGGGCAGGTGCGAAGACCAAGAGCGGGAGGGAGTAGAAACTGGGATTGGTATGTAAGATAAGAAAAGATTGTTTTAAGTGTAATAAAAAGATAAAAAGAATACTTACTGCTCTTCCAGTGGACCTGGGCTTGGTTCTCAGAAACCAAATAGTGGCTTACAATCTGTAACCCCCAGTTTCAGAGTATCTATTGTTTTCTTTAGGACTCTGAGGACCAAAGGAAAACAACCACCTCTTTGTAATTAACCTTCGCCACGTTACCAAACACTTCAGACTACTATATTTAAGAGCTTACTAACTCATCGTTCTGACTTCCCTCCTCCCTGCATCCCTGGATATTGATAATTGTGGTTCATCAAAGTCAGATTAATCTAAATACAGATTGTTTATGTCATTCTCACTGCATATGCAGCTTTAATGGCTTTCATGTCCCTTGAGTTCTGTCTCTCCAGAGGCTGTTCTAAAATTTGCCTTCACATCATCCAAAACTTTTCCTCAGGCACTGGCCATAACATATCTAGTTTTTAGGTTTCCACCTTCAATTATAGTTCTCAGTAAAACCTTCCTTGCCTTTTTTCTAGTGGTATATTTAAATATAGTTCACACAATATACAAATGTCCCAAGTAAGCGATTTTTGGGTTGTTGGAATACATTCTAGAACCTTTTCATGACAATAAAAGAAAAAACATGCTACCCATTTCTTCCAATTTGCACCTAAAGCATCCCTCAACCTTAAAAAATAACTAATGTACTTTCTGCATATAGAATTATTCAATATATGATTTTATGACCAGATTGTTTTACATAAAATAGTGGTTTCCTTTATAAAATATTACTATACTTTATATGTATATGTGTTGTGCCTGCATACATGTATGTGTACCATATGCGTACATGGTGCCCTCAGAGGCCCAAAGAAGACACTGGATACTCTGGAAATGGAGTTACAGATTGTAAGCCATCATGTGGGTCGTGGGAACCAGACCCAGGGCCTCTGGAAGAGCAGTCAGTACCCTTAATCACTGGCCCATCTCTCCAGCCACTTTATTTTTAAATTAGAGTATGTTAGTTTAACATGGGAATGAGTTTCATTGTGGTATTTTCATATGGATATGTAATGTACATTGGTCATAATTCTCCCTCCTATTTGTCTCCTTCTACATCACTAATAGTTTCTGTCCCTCAACTTTAATATCATGTCTTTTTTAATTCCTCTAAATTCCACACAAAAGAGAAAATAAAAGGCTTATTATGTTTTTAGATTTGAAGGGAACTAGACCTACCAAGGACACAAGTCTCTGGGTATGACTACAAGGGACTGTTTAGGTGTTGATAATTGAGGTGTGATGACCTACCTAGAATATGACTGGCACCATTACATGGGCAACAGTCCTGGACTGAATGAGAAGGAAAGGTAGGATGAACATACATATTTATTTTTCTCTGCTTCTTGAGTACAGATACAATATAAGCAGCTGCCTCATGCTGTTTTCACCATGACTTCCTCACTATAAAAGACTGTGAGGTAAACCTTGAGAACTCTGAGCCAAAACAAACCCTTTCTCTCTTAAGTTTCCTTTGTCAGGTATTCTATTATATTAACAAGACAAAAGTCTAATAGTCTTGTCTTCCTGAGTCTGGCTTATTTCACCTTACAGGGTGATCTCAATTTCTATTGAATTTCCTGCAGATGACAAAATTTCATTCCTTTTGGTTTTTTTTGGCTGAATAGAACCCTTAGGTAAATATATACTACATTTTTAAGGATATATTTTATTATTAATTGTGTGTGTGTGTGTGTGTGTGTGTGTGTGTGTGTGTGTGTACGCTCACATGTGCATGCATGTACCAACACACATGTATATACATGAATGCAGGTTCCTCCTGAAGCTGGAAGAGGAAATTGGATTCCTCAGAGATGGAGTTATACACCTGGCTAATATGGGTACTAAGAACAGGTTTCCAGTCCTCTAAAAGAGCAAGAATTGCTGTTAACTGTTGAGTCATCTCTCCAGCCCTCTACCACATTTTATTAATCCATCTGCTGACGGGCACCAAAGTTAATCTCTTCATTTAAATATATAAACAGTACTATAGTAGGAAATTACCAATATGGAGTCAGGTAGAAATATAAGGGTATTTAATGGCTACAGCTTCCCCTACACAGTACTATAATAAACATGTGTGAGACATGTTACATTGATTTGATTCTTTTTGCATACATGAAGATGTGATAGAGCTGAAATGCTTTATAAGTCTATTTTTTTAGTGTTTTGAGGAAAGACCATCCTAATTTCTATACTTACTGGAATAATTCATGTTCTTACCAGAATTTTACAACTTTTAAAAATACCTTACATCTTCATCAACATTTACCATTATCTACTTTCTTAATTATAATCATTTTGACTACTCTATTTACTTTTTGTTTGTTTTAAGCTAGACTAGTTATATTGTGCAGGCCATCCTGCACTCATAATCCTTTTTCTTCACTCAGCCTATGCTAGGATGGCAGGCCAGCAGTACATTCTCCATGTAATGTTGATTTATATGTGTCTGGTAGTTAAAGGCCTTGAACATTTTTCATTTAGATTTGACCATTTGTTCTCCCTTGTTTGAAGATGGATGTTCACTTCATTTGCTCGTTCATTAATTAAGATATTTGCTCATTGGTATTTGTTCACTTTTTTATGTCCTGGTTATTAATTTCTCTCTCAATCTTAAATATTTACTTTTCCTCTTGAGTTGTTGAGAACAGGATTCTTTCTAATTTCTTTCACAGTGAGTCATTTCCCCCTATACTTGCATTTCTTTTTATAAATATGTATTATCTTCCTTACAGCTATCATAGTGTGCATGAATTATGATCTCACAGTGGTGTTTATTTGCAATTCTGCAGTCACAGATGTTGTTTAGTATCTCTTTATGTGACAGGTAACAATTTGCATATCTTCATTGTAGAAGTTTCTATTTAAATATTTTGCTTATTCTAATTTTTTGATTTTTCAGTTATTGAATCTTTTGTCTTGTTTATGCATTGTGAATTTAAGTCCTTTATTTTATATATGATTTATCAATAGTTTCTCTTCTAAGTTTTTTCTCCATTGATAAATTGAAACACAAGATACTTTACTTTTTATTATATTCACTGTATTTAATTCACTTTTATTACTGAGCTTTTTGGTGCCACATGTAAGAAACAATCTTTTTCTTATTTATTTATTTTACATACTGACTGCATTTTCCCCACCCTCCTCTCCTCCCATCCCCTTCCTCCACCCCCCCCAATACACTCCTCTGTTTCCTTTCAGAAAGGTGCAGGCCACACAGGATTATCAACAAAGTATGGGATATCAAGTTAAAGCAAGACATGCACCTCCTTCGTGTTTAGGCTGGGCAAGGCAATCCAATATGAGGAATAGGTTCCCATGAGCCAGCCAAAGCATTAGGGACAGCCCCTGCTCATATTGTTAGATGCCCCATAAATAGACCATGTTTATCTGTCACTTATCTGTAAAGGGCTTATATAGGTCCCATGCAGAAACCTGGTTGTTGGTTCAGACTCTCTGAGTTTCTATGAGTCAGTTGTTTCTATGAGTTAGTTGTTTCTGTGAGTTTTTTGTGATGTCCTTGACCCCTCTGTCTCCTACAACCCTTCCACCCTCTCTTCTTCAGTTACTGGATGAAGTCTCTCTGATAACAATTGGACTAGTCACCAATCTGATCACAGGAGATGGCAAGTTCAGCCTACGTATCCACTATTGCTAGGAGTCTTAGCTGGGGTCTTACTTGTAGATTCCTGGGAGTTTCCCTTTTATCAGGTTTCTACCTGTCCCCATGTAAAGTTTTTCCTTTCTAGTCATCTCTTTCAGTACGCTCCCCTCCAGACACACACCCCAAACAATTCCCTCAAGTTCCTGTCCCCACCTGCCTAGTTGTCAGGATGGCTGAAGGGCCTCAGTTGCTGCATTCAGAAACCATCACTTAATGCAAGGTCATAAAGATTTATTCCTATCATTTTAAAAATAAAAGTTTCAGTTTTATGCATTTGAGATTTTGTTCCTTTATAAGTGAATTGCTGAATGCCATATGAAATATGGGTCCTATTTCCTTTATCCGCATGTAATAGTCTGTAAAATACCATTTGTTGAAAATATTATTCTTCCTTCAGTACATTCCTTGGAATATTTTTGAAAATCAGTTCACTGTAAACATAAAAAGTAATTTTTGAATTCTCAATTTTGTTCTCCTGATACCTATATAACATTATCTCACCATCCTGATTGCTATAACTTTGTAGTAAATTTTAAATAGGTATTTGTGCATCAGATGTTTTCATTGTACAAGAATGATTTTGTTCTTATGCATTCCTCAGATATTCATGCAAATTCTGGGATCAGCTGTTCAGTTTGGATAAAAATAGCCAGTCAGAAGTTTGATAAGGATTCCATTGATATATACCTACCTATTGTGAAGAGCTTTAACATCTTAATATTTTACCCTCTAATCTAAGAATATGGGAAAAGCAGGATATCTTTCAGCTTATTTACATTTCATTTAATTTTTCAACAATGATTCACAGACTTCAAGTAAATACATTTGTATTTCTCTTGTTAAATTTATATTTTTGTTATTTTTACTAGAGACCTTCTAGTAATAAAGTGCTACAGTATGTCTTTATACAGACTATGAATGCATAACAGATATTTCTGTACTTTTATATTTTATCACTTTCATTTAAAAATGTTGTTTAGGTCTACATACAATTCTTAGATAACAGGTTATAGTACTTTTGGTATACTCTCCCTCTACCTTCTGAACTTAATTTCTGATTTTCATCTTATTGAAGGTTCCTTTGTATTAGAAAGATACCTTTGTTGTGTAACTTTGAGTTTGGAAACACACAGAGGGGAGTGGGAGACTGTCTTTGCATTCAGCATTTAAACTAATACACATTAAGTTATGGATCTCTAAGTTTACTTTGAATTAATTGATGGGTTTTTTATTTAGCATCATTAATTTTTCTTTCTGTTAGAATTATATAATCTCTATTGACCTATCTTCAAAATGTTAGTTCTACAGTACAAATTTGTTGTATCACTCTAGTAAATTTTCATGGTTCATGGCACTTTTTCTGTAGAACTTATACATGCTTATTTTTATTTATTGATATACTGTAATTTAAAGCATTGTAATTGAAACTTCTTTTATTTAACTAGGCACATTCCCTTTAGTTAAATTGCTATCTGTTGAATTCAAATTCAAAAATGCTGCTTCTCAGAGGAAGTTTCCATTGCCAGTATTTTCTCCTGTGGATTTCTGCATGCGTCACATGGTGGGTATCTTTTTTTTAAGTGCATGTTTTAGATAATCTATTGTGTAAACTCTATAACTAAAAGTAGAAATTGTTATTTGCTTATTTATTTGTTTTATTGAACGGACTGTACAGTTTCAGTGAAGTAAATTTCCACTACAACAATCAGCCTCTGATGTTGCTGTTCAGTGAGTTCAGGCTTAGATACTGCACAGTCATTCTGGGATGACAGTGGTGTTAGCAAGAATGTTTTTGCCTCTTTTCCTGATCTCTTTCTTTCATCTGTCTGCTCTGATGGTATCATACCCAGGTATTAACTTTCAGTGATTGCCAGATGATTGCAATATTGTTTTCAACAATGCCCTGGAAAATAAATTGCTCTACAGTGATGCAATTAAATGTGGACTTCTTTGCAGGGTTAGAGTTTTAAGGCCAGACTCCGAGACCCTCTCTAAAGTGCAGGTTGAAGATTGTTTTTAGCCATCTAATTTCCTGGCTCTTGCTTTTAATCTAGCTAATCTAAGGCTTAGGTTATTTTTCTTATTGGGCCACCAGATATATTTGCATTGTTTATTATCTAACTCTCTAGATTTCAGTAACTTTAAGGATTGACTTTCCTTATTTTCAAAGAATGTTATATTTGAGAGGGATATTTAACTACTATTCTTGTGTACTGCCTTTCCCTTTGTATAAAACCTCTGTATCACTGTTCCAGATCCAGAGGAAGGAAGTGTCTTTATCCTGGAGAGACACTTGCTTTATAAGCAGAATGCTAAGCAGGGTGATAACCATTAATCATGTACACCTACCTCTTCTGCCTTGGATTCTCTTTCTCACAAACTAAATGAAGATCAGTTTTTACTGTTTGTGTCTCACCCTTGACTGGGATATACCTTGTATTATTTTTGCAGGTTTGAGGCATTCTAAAACTCACAGCTTTTATCTGTATTAGACGTTCGGAAACACAGATGTTAAATGGGTAAGAAATATTGCGTTCCTACCCTGTTTCAGAAGATGTTATGCTTATATATTGGCATCTTGGAAGAAAGGAGACTTGCATTTTGGATGCTTCTGTCCATTATAGAGCATTGATCTTACAAAGCTGGGGATGGGAGAAAGGAGCAGGTCAGAGTTCAAACTCAACAGTTTTCATTATGACCAAGAATTACTGAATTTTCTTGAATGAAAGTCTTATAATTTGTGGCTTGTCCTTAGGGTAATTTGTAGAAATGTTAGTGGGCTATATGATTATTTCTAACTTTTACTAGGGTAGTGGTTTAACTAGAGTAAATCAGTTAGGATACTTGTCACTTTGACAAAATACCCTCCATAAACAACTTGAAAATTTTATTCTGGCTTATGCTTACATGTGTTTCAATCAATAATTGACTAGCTCCAATTGTTTCTGGACTGTGGTGAGAAGGATAATTATGGAGACAAAATGTGGAGTAGTCAATTAGCTTACCTCTCTGTGGTGATGTGTTATTTATGATTTATTAAAGCTTACCTGGGGGTATAGAAGGCAAAGCTAGCCACAAGCCACAGTAACAGGTAATGGTGATAAACAGCTTTGATCCCAGAAGCCATACTAGCTAGCCATAGAGCCAGGCAGTGGTGGCACACACCTTAATCCCAGGACTCAAGAAACTACCAGATGGATATCTGTCAGTTTACGACCACAATGAGCTACATGAAGTTGATCCAGTCCCAAATTGAAACAGCTCACACGGTGGTGATCTGAGTACTTGGGATCACATGCCTTTCTTTAATCCCTGCACTAGGGTGTTATGAAAGGAAGAACCAAAGGGTCTTATAAAGATATAGTCTCCAGCCACATTGTGGAGAAGATTTCAGTCTGAGGATTTGTGGAGCTAGCCCGATCACCCTTTCAGTCTGAGGTAGAGGTAAGAGCTAGTGGCTGCCTGCTTTGCTTATCTGACCGGCAGCTTGAACCCCAATATCAGTCTCTGGGCTTTTATTATTCCTGTTACATCTCACAGCAGACTGGAAACAGAGAGAATGCTTCTGATTTCCCCTCTTTTAGTCTGTCACAACTCATTGCCTTTTGGGTGGTACCACCCACATTCACAATGAGTGTTCCCCATTAGTTAATTCTCTCGGGAAATGCTCTGCCCTAGTGGTTGGTTCTCTTTATCCATTTTCTTGCTGCTTAACAACATCCTCAATATAAAACATCACAGTAAGCATAAGGGACCTCCACACATCACCACTCCAAACAGCATTCATTCCCTCTTCTTGACATTTTAAATCAATATACAACACAAGGCAGAAAGTAAAATATATACACGTACATGTTTGTGCTTATATTATGTATATACATGTGTATATAATTTTTATCCTCTCTCTTTTCTAATTTTCTATAAATTCTTTTCCTTAATTAAACAGAAAAACTATATAGACACTCTTACACTGCTTCATCATAAATCCTTGTAATGTTATAACTGTTTTCTTATTGCCTACTCTGTGCTGTGCCTAGAAATGAAGGTAAACAGGAAGATGCAAGGCTTAATTAGACACAGTCCCTATCCAATATTACCAAAAAGATAAATATGGACATGACTTAAAACAAGGCAAAGTATGATCACTTACGCAGAGATGCATAAAGAAAATGCTCTCTAAAAAGCCTAAACTTTTGTTCTTTTTCTCCCCGTCACTTGGATATAGAGTTAGGGTCTCCATATTGTTTAATAGTCTCTGATTCTAGAAGATGGCATTTAACTTGTACCTTCCTTAATGGGCCAGGAACTAATTGATGGAGGTGGTAAAGAGAAAATTATAAGCAAAGTAAAAATAGCTTTTAGGATCTGAATTAGGCAGGCTAGACAAAGAGAACTCGGCCAAATTATGAAGTCCTTGAAAAACCAGGCTTTGGAGTTGAAATTTCCTTCTGTAGACAGCCCAGTATTATAACATATTTTAATATAAAAATGGCATGATTGGTTGAGAAGGTTAAGGTGTGCAACAGCAGAATGAAAGATGGGTGTTTCAGGAATGGTAATGAAGAGTAAGGATATCAACGAAAAAGGAAACTATTACTACTTTCTACAGGACAAATGAGAAGGATTTAATTTCCAGCAATAAACAATGGGTGAACAAGTGAAAATAGTGAAAGGCCAGTGTGATCTTTTAAAACTGATAGTACAAGCTTTCAAAACTAATTTCATGACTATAAACTTGGAATGAAGGTTCAAAGTTCAAGTGATTCCAAGACCTGTAGGCATATCCATATGCTATAATGATTAAGACCTGATTAATTTTAGAATAGAAACTTAAGCACCACTTGGCAGTCTGTATCCACTTACCACTTCAGAGGAATATTTCAAGAACGCAGAAGTAATGTCAAGTCATTAGTCCTTTATGGAATAGAAAGGGAAGACACTTTAAAGTTTATTCATGCTTCTAAGATGATTTGGAATACACATTTATAAGGTAGTTTAAATTTTTTAAATTTAGGTATTTTACCCCAAGGTCTAACAAAGAAGGCTTTGTATGAAACTACCTCACAAATAGCTGCTGAATAGAATATAACCAGGTGTTACGATATAATATTTTATGCAGGAAGACTAAACAAATCAAGCCAGACAAAGCATTTCTGGATAATATTCAAATATGATATTAAATATACAAAGAATTCATGTAGTCTTTTTTAAATTTTTTATTTATTTAAAAGTTTTTATTTCATTTTACATACCAACTACCGTACTCCCTCCCTCTCAATCTCCCACTCCTTCCACCTTACCCCCATCCCACCCTTATCCTCTCCTCAATAATGATTAAGCCTCCCATGGGGAGTCAACAAAGTGTGGCATATCATGTTGAGGAAGGACCAAGCCCCTTACCCATGTATCTAGTCTGAGCAAGGTATCTCTCCATAGGGAATGGGCTTCAAAAAGTCAGTTCATGTACTAGGGATAAATCCTGGTCCCACTGCCAGTGGACCCACAGACTTCTTAAGCCACAGAACTGTCACCCACATGTAGAGGGCCTAGTTCAGTACTATGCAAGTTCCTCAGCTATCAGTCTAGAGTCAGTGAGCTCTCACTAACTTGGGTCACCTGTCTCAAAGGGTTTCCCCATCATGATCTTGACATCTTTCCTCATATATTCCCTCCTCCCACTATTTACCAGACTCTGGGAGCTCAGCCCAGTGCTTAGCTATGGATCTTTGTATCTGCTTCCATCAGTTACTGGATATAGGGTTATGATGACAATTATGGTAGTTATTAATCTGATTATAGGGGAAGGCCAGTTCAGGCACCTTCTCCACTATTGCTAGGAATCTTAGCTGGGGTCATCCTTGTGGATGCCTTGGAGTTTCCCTAGCACCAGATTTCTACCTAACTCCATAAAGGATCCCACTATCAAGATATCTCTTTCCTTGCTCTCCCTCTCTGTCCCTACCCCAACTTAACTATTCTGTTCCCTCAAGTTCTCCTTTCCACTCCCCTTCATCCTTTCCTCCCCACACTTGAAATTCATTCAGGAGATCTTATCTATTTCCCCTTACGGGGCCATTTATGCATGTCTCTTTTAGGGTCCTCTTTGTTACTTAGGTTCTCAGGGTTATGGATTGTAGCCTGGTTATCCTTTTCTTTGTGTCTAATATTCACTTATGAGTGAGTACATACTGTGTTTGTCTTTCTGGATCTGTGTTATCTCACTCAGGATGGTTTTATCTAGTTCCAAACATTTTCCTGCAAATTTCAAGATGTCATTATTTTTACTGCTGAGTAATACTCCATTGTGTAAATGTACCACATTTTCTTTATCCATTTTTGGTTGAGAGGTTGTTTCCAGGTTTTGGCTATTTTGGCTATAACAAATAATACTTCCATGAACATAGTTGAACATATGTCCTTCTTGTATGAATGTGCATCCTTTCTGGTATATACCCAAGAGTGGCATTGCTACGTCTTGAGGTAGAGTGATTTCCAACTTTATGAGAAACCACCATACTGATTTCTAAAGTGACTGTACAAGTTTGAACTCCCACAAGCAGTGGAGGAATGTTTCCTTGACTCCACATCCTCTCCAACATAAGCTGTCATCAGTGTTTTTTGATCTTAGCCATTCTGACAGGTGTAAGATGGTATCTCACAGTCTTTTGGTTTGCAATTTACTGATGGCTAAGGATGCTGAGCAACTCCTTAGAAGTCCTTCAGCCATTTGAATTTCTTCTGTAAAGAATTCTCTGTTTAGCTCTGAACCCCATTTCTTAATTGGATTATTTGGTATTTTTATGCCTAGCTTTCTGAGTTTTTAAAATATATTTTGGATATCAGCTATTTGTCTGATGTGGGGTTGGTGAAGATTTTTTCCCATTCTGTAGGCTGCCATGTGCTTTGCCTTAGAGAAGTTTCTCAGTTTCAGGAGGTCCTGTTTATTAATTGTTTTTATCAGTGTTTGTGGTACTGGTGCTATATTTAGGAAGCAGTCCCCTGTGCCAATGTATTCAATGCTATTTCCCAGTTTCTCTTCTGTTAGGTTCAGTGGAACTAGATTTATGTTGAGGTCTTCGATCTACTTGGACTTCAGTTTTGTGTATGGATCTATTCGCATTATTCTGCATGTTCACATCCAATTATGTCAATACCATTAGTAGAAGATTCTTTTTTATCCACTGTAAAATTTTGGCTTCTTTGTCAAAAATCAGGTGTTCACAGGTGTGTGAATGAATTAATGTCAGGCTCTTTGATTGGATTCATGTGGTCTTAAGTGAAGGGTATAAAATCATAGAAAGAGCAACTGTATATTCATTTAGTCTGTAGTGAAAGGGAGAAAAATAGAGCAGATTCAGAAATAGACAATTAAAAGGGATTGGAAAAATGGAAGATCAATTATGTGTGTATAAATCCGGAGAAATTCTGTATATGGACTGGAGTATATATTACCTTTGGGTTAAAATGCACAGCGATGCAGAAGTAGCCATGTGTGAACATGCCATAGAGTATTACATCA